CAGCAGGGGTACTAGCAGGTGGGCAGTGCCCTGTGCTGTTCCTGCGCGAGATGTTTTGTACAGAGATTGTGAAGTTTTACTTTGTATTTATGAAAATCTGGAAGGAGATCTGTAGCCTGAAACCAGCTTTTGGTTGAAAAACAAAATAAACAAATATATTGACCTTGTGCATCATTTCAGTTAGTGAAGTAATGTGACTGCAACACTGAACAGGGGGCTGGATTGAGTTCCTAACTATGCCACAGTCCCACCGTGGGACCCTGGAGAACTTGCATTATCAGCCTGCAGTTCTGGTCCCTGTGTATGAAATGAAGAGCATCCAGTCCCCTTCACACACGGACAGACAGGGTCTTAAGTCTTGGGCACCATGTGTTTGAAAGCCGTGAAAGTGAGTAGGAGTGTCTCCATGGGGCACAGAGCAATACAGAGGGGCAATACTAGAGATGGCTTTAAAAGAGACAGCTCAGATCCCTAAAGAGGATTTACAGCATTCAGTGAGGAAAGTCTAGGCTGCTTCTTGCCCCTCTGGTTAGATGGGGTTTGCTGTCTGGACTAGCTCTGAGTAAGCTCAGGTATAGCTACAATAGCCTGAACTATTATCACTCATTTATCAGGCTGGTTCACCAAGCCCTACAGCCATCTGTACATGCAACCCCGCTGGCCACAGGGAGCCACAAGCTTAGATCCAGTTTGGCTTTGGAGCTCAAAGAACTGAAATTCTTTGGCAATTTCCTAAGGCGCTTTTCTGGCTTTGTGAGTAGTTCTGCTGATCAGGGTAAGGAGCAGAGCAGCCTGTCACATGGACTCCAAGTCCATCTCTTTTGGCTGATTCAAAATGTCCCACAACACCAAAAACAGTGCCCCTCATCATTTGAGGGCCAAAAAACATCCTGAGAATTTTCCTTACTTGGGTCTAAAGGAGGAATGATTTTTGTTGAAGGAGCAGGGTCAGATAATAAAAACTCTGATCAGTTATTAGTTTGTCAGTTTAGGCAAGTGAACCCTGCATTTTCTCATCTTTTAAACATTTTGTTCAACATTAAATAACGATGAAGAGATTTTCTGTAAGCAACAGGACATTTCACACAGAAGCAACAGCACAAATGTCACCATACCCAATTCTTGCCTGTGATTGTTACAGAATCACATTTTTAAAGGATCTGTGAAGCCATATGCATACATTTGTATTGTGGCAGCTCCCTCACCAACATCTGAACTGCAGGTTAATGCTCATCCCAGTTAGCTGCAATACTCACAAGCAACAGAAGCAGAGGGACAGAAGCCAGCATGGCTCTGCTTGACAGGATTTCAGAGCTACGCTCTCACTTGAGCATCAGGAAGTTCTGCCCTATACCCTTCCTGGGCCTGCAGCCTCTCAGGGGTGAAACAGCCCTATAAATCTGAGCCAGTTGCCATATTCTGTAGCAGAGGGTACATACGCATTCAGTCAACCTGCAACTTGTGCATCTGAAATGAACCATTTGGGAACCAAAGAAGATGCCATTTTAGCGCTAAGGTTGAATACTCCTGCTGCTTATGGCCAAGCTCCTGCTGCTGCACTTCAGGGCATTTTGCTTTGTTACGGACCCCTGATTAACACTTCCTAAGCATTTCGGCCCACACTCCAGTCACTTTGCAGATTGCAATGAATGCAGATTTGAGTTTATGGGTTCATAAAAGTGTGAATTAGCACAACAATTTTCTCCCAGCCTATTTGCACAGCCCCTCCTTGAGTGACCTGTCCCTTCAGACAACACAAATATTTCAGCTCAAGCAAACTGCCCGGTGAGGCATTTTTAATAGGCTAGAAGGAGATCTGTGTCCCCAGGAAGCAGTGCCTGTGGGAGCACAGAGCAGGAGCATCACTGTGAAGACCAGCACTTGCATTTTTTGACAGGACTATAAAGCATTGAGAAACAAACTCCTCCAGCCGCTGTAGGAACTGCACGGATCCCAGCAGCCCTGGCAGTGCCACTTGTACAAGCTCTGAGCCTGGCATTGCTGTTGCCACCTCTGCTAAGCAGAGAGAGGTGAGCAGACCTCCCCTGACTGTCTTGCACTGGTGCAGTGTAGTCACACAACCCTGCATCAATACACTGGGCCAGATATAGAGACCCCAAAATGAGCACCCTCACAGTGCCTCACGGCTGTGTTTCTCCTCACAACACACGTGCCTCTACTCTGGCATCCCATATCTTTGGGCTGTGGAAAACACTGTCACCCAGTAATCTGCCTCTTTTCCTGCTCTCTCCATATCAATGGTGTTATCAGTCCTATCTCTGCATGGAGGAGGGGCTGGCTGACCAAATTTCTTTAATTAAAAGAAAAAGGATCAGGTTTATTTCAGATAAGCAGGCAGGATTAAAATAGACAGAAAGAATAGACAAGGGGTAGCTGTCAGCACTCCAGCTGATCCAGTGTGATTATTAATAACGATAAGCAGGAGAAGAGGGCTAATAAAAGGATAATGAAGTGGTCCTGAAAGTAACAGGAGATTGAGCCTGATAAGAGGGCCCAGGGCCCGTAGCTGTTCAGGCCCCAGTGAGGTCTGCACAGAACAACTTGCTGGGGCAGACTCAGGTAGTAGGGCTCTAGGTGGAAAGGTTTCATCTCCCCAGGGACTGCGGCAGAGAGATTAACGGACTCAGAAGCTCTGGATGTCCATGTCACGCAGCATTCATGACTCAGTCAGTCAGGATGCTTCCCAGGCTGTGACTGCAAGGAGTGCAGGTCATCCCCCTGAATAAAGTGTGGTCCTGGGAGGACTGGTCTCACCAGGGCAGCCAACTGTGTATCCCCCATGTGCACAGCCTGGGCCTGGGGTGCCACATTTCAAAAGGAAGTGCAAGTGGGAGAAGCTGCTGAGGTATGGGGGCAGTTGCTGGGAGAGCACAGAAGCAGTGTGGGGCATCTCTGCCCTGTCTAGGGATCACCCACCACTCTGGTTTTTCCTGGCTCTATCAGGTCTCCAGGCCAGGAAAGTGTCCCGTATCTCAGGTAGTCATCCAAAAAGGTGGAAGGATGTGGCTGCAGAAAGAGCAGCCCGTGGAGGGCTGGCTCTGGGTGCCCTTTCCCAAGGGAAAGCTCACATGCAGATCATGAAGCACAGACAAAAAACTGCCACAACCTGGAAACAATACAGTGCACCCACCTGTACTAGCTTGATACAGCTCTTGGCAGTGGTCTGGGTCAGTCAGGGGGAAATAAGGTGTGGAAAATTATTTCCCAGGAGCCATTAAACAGAGAATGGCATCCCACCTAACAGCAAATACAACCTCCGTCCTCTCTGTTGAAGGGAATCAAATCATCTGTAGAGATGCAGTGGGAAACCAAGGACTCAGAACCTCACAGCAAGCCACAGAACAAGTCAGATGGCTGGTGAAGGGAGGACTCAGTCAGGGAACGCTGTGGGAGGAATTAAGGATGTTTGGGAAAACTGGATTAGTTTCCAATCAAATTGATCTCTTTTCTATCCAAAGACCCCCTTCTCCCTCCCAAGTCTAGAGCTTCTCTCCTTCTTCAGAGGGAGAAATACTGTGAGCTGGGCTGTGCCATCCCACCCATGCCAGCAGGCAGGCGGGGGCTGGGCACGTTGTGCTGTAGCAGCCTCACAGCCCCCACCTTCAGCCACAGGCAGCAGCGCACAAGGCCTGAGAGAGGAGCTGGGAATACAGGCTCTGGCTCACACTGCCTGGCGCTGCGCTCCCGCCACTCCAGGTCACCGCGGCAGATGCTGGGAGCATATGCCATGAATTAATTCCACTTTCCATGAGATGCTTTGAAGAGAGGAACGGCAGTGCCTTTCCAACTTATTAACATAGGAGCTCCCCCCCACCTCCCATCACTTTGTCACACGTAATAAAACAGCCAGACAGAGCCCCTTTAAGAGGTTCTTTAATGGAAAGTTGCTGGCTCTGGCTTGCTTTCAGCTTTTATTTCCTACATTTTTTTCAGTGCTGCCTAAGCTGTCTCAGCTCAATATTCCCCAGTCACTGACAAACTGCACTCTAGTAAGGCATCTCCACCAAGAAAGTCTATAAATATCAAATGTATTATTATAAGCAAAACCAGAGATTCCTAAAACTGATAGAACCTAGACTTAATTTTTCCTTTATGTCTTTCTTTTACTTTATCTGTGATGAGGCTTGCCATATGCCCAGTATTGCTCTATTGAGCGCTGAGTCTGCCAGAGGCTACCTGCAGGTAGATATTTACACCCATCCAGAATCTCAGCAAGTCCTTGGGCAGACACCCCAGATCAGCTTCCTCAGCAATGTATGAACAGAGCAGAACAAAAAATAAGCAGGACACAAGACTATCTACACTGAATTGTCATCTTTGAAATGAAGATAGAAAACACCAAGTATATGAAAGCTTTGTTTGAATTGGGAGCCTGAGGTTCCTCGTTTCTAACCCTGATTTTGTCAAAGATTCATTGTGTGGCCCTGGGCACATGACTGCACCTTGCTTTACCCCTCTACAGGGTCTGTGGAGACCAACAAGGGATTACTGTCTATGCCTCAGCTAGGCACAGCCCAGAGGGCTGTTCCAAGATCCTGGGAACTGGGCGCACTCTTTTGAAAACTGCTCTTGCTTCTCTCCTCACCTGAGGCTCAGCCAGAGCTACACCTTTTCAGGCTACACCCGCCATTTCCTCCTTTGCATCCTCTTTCCATGGGACTTGTCAGAAATGCAGGTTCCTGAGGCAGCTTTGTTACAGCCAATACACACTGGTGCATCAGTGAGCCAAGAGCTGGCCTGGGCATGCAAAAGCAGGTCATTATTTCTTTTTAAAAAGGACAGTAAGAGGCATGTGTTCTCCTCTGACAGCACCAGGACTTGAGAAAGTCTCGGGTCTCTGTCATCCTCCCAGCACTGCAACCAGCACACAGCTGTGGAAGGAAGGTGGGTGGGAACAGCTTGCAGGAGAAAGGCCAGAAGCCAGACACCCACCTCCCCTTCTCCAGCTGGGGAAGGAATTGAAGAGACATGGAAACAAGTCTCAGTCTATTAAGTTTATTGAAGGAAATTAAAGAGACAACTTGATCACTGTGCACATAAATACTGAAGCAAGAAGAAAATACATGACAGGATGGCTTGATTGGAAAGGTGAAAGCAAGCAGTCTCAGGGAACAGAAGATGAAACTCAAAAACTGACCCTAAAAATAAAGCAGATTTTAAACCATAAGGGCAATCATCTATTAAAAACGAACGAGGAGTGAGTTTCAAATATACTGTCTGCCTTTCTAAAAGACAGGCAAGGCTCAGCCACTGGACTCTGCCATGGCCTGTATTATAGCAGGTCAGAGTAAATGATCAAAGCTACCTCTTCCTACCTTAAAATAGATGAGGCTGACACTTTCTTCAAGCCCTTCTCTCAAACTCTACTTGGGTATTTGCTGGGCTCCCAAGGTCCCAGACTGGGCACAGACCTGGCCCACACAACTTGCCTCTCTCCACAGAGTATCCCTCCCAGGGCCCCCAGCCAGAAGGGGGTAGCCAATTTTTTTTTCCTCTCAGAGTGGCTTGTTGGGTTTCTCTGATTTATTAAAGTATTTTAGTTTGCTGAATTTAATTTTTTTTCCTGGAATGTAGGAAGCATTCTAAATTCTTTGGCCAAGAACCGTAGGTGTCACACAGAAATAGATGCTAGCGCAGCTGGGAAGTTTCTGCTCATACCAAAACAGGTTTCTCTGCTCGGGGAAGGACATTTGGATTATCCTCCATACACTGGCCTCCCTTCTGTCTCACCTAGTTTTTTAGTTACAGGAGAGATTTCTTGCTTGTAAAAAGCTTTGTGTGTCCTTATGACAGATAAACCTCCACTTATTTTTGTGGCCCCAGACTGGGACCCAACTGCTTCCCTCTTATTGGTAGAGTTGTTTGGTTTATCAGCTCTGATCTGAAATTCTGCAGGGTACTGAATTCACAGTGAGTTATTTGACTTGTCTCCTGCTGTCACAAAAATGGAAATGCAGTACTCTATCAGACTGACCAAACAAGCCAAGAAGAACAGCACAGCAAGCTTCCTCCCAAGCACCTGCACTGCCCCCCCGAAGTATACAGCAAGATTCTCCAATGGGATGAGGCTTTGAAGGACGTTGGCTTAGGAAGTAATGTTACTGTTTCCTGCAAATAATGACCACAGTTCTATAGGGACAAGGTATTAACAGCTAAATGGGTTTTTCTTTAGATGACAATAAGAGTGGGTCACTTAGTTCCAAGGAGGCACACACCAGGGAGTTACCTTTTTTGAGAGCATCAGGTTCCATTCTTTCACACCCATGGAATAAACAGTATTTTCTTTGCAAACTACCTATTGCCTGAAGCGATCTCCATTCAGGCTGTGGTTTCATGTGATTGCAAAAGCTAAGTGGGGTTATGCCTGGTCAGAATTTAGCTGGGAAACCTCAGGGTAAAAAGAGGTGCTGAAAGAAGTGGTGTTGGCAGTTTAATAGGTGATGCTTCCTGAGTCAATACAGAGGTAATGTTCCAACAAAGGGGTTAAATTAGCAGGGAAAGGCTGGAGGCTGCTGGATGAAATGTAAACCAGATATCCTGACAACTTGTGGTGTCTGTTGTGAAGAAGATGGTAACCTCAATGTCCTAGTGTATTGGGTCTGGATGAGATAGAGTTCATTTCCCCCATAAGCTTCTCTGATAACCATCACTACAAACCACACTCCATTGGAAGATGGTCCACTCCAGAGAGGTTGTGTTTTCATGGAGGAAAGATCAACCACTGCAGTTATCTGTAAAGCTGCTATTGAGGTGGAGCGACTGTATATAAGTTAATATTTTATGGTGTTTGGAATTCTTCATCTCTTTTGACAAGAAAGATTCTTATTACAAAGTACCCAAAACTTCTCCCAAGACATTTTTTCTGTGAAGACAAGATCCTATTTATTTTCATGTCTGAAGTAAGGTCTCAAATACAAACAAGTAAATACAAAATTGAAGTGCTAAGCTATTTACAGGGGATGCATGTATGAGATGTCTTTTGTGCCAGTACTCTATGGCAAACTGAGGTGGTCCTCTCTCTCAGATTGTCCCAGGTCCCACTCAGTCACTAGTTCTGAGGACACCTCTGTGAAGAGATGGTCCCAATCCCAGCGGTCATCATCCTACCAAGAGGAAAAAGACAAACATACTGAAATGTGACCGGTGACACCTGAAGTTCTCTGAACAATGCCAGACATTCAGCAAAGAGAGAAAGTAAATGGTAACAGCCCTGACCAGGGTAGTTACAGATTCAGTTGGCTAGAACAGGAATACTAGCCAAAATGAAATGTGAATCCCTGCTACAATTTAAAAATGTTGACAGAATTATTCATGTTCCAAAACTCCATAAAGGACAGATTTTTTGATACTTGTTAATATTAGATACACCCTGGCAGGTCATAAAGAGAAGCCATAAAAATCTTCCACCCTTCTGCTGAAGCATGTGCAGTTCAAAGCTGCAGCAATCTTTTGTTGCAAGTCCTGAGCTCCTGCCCACCCAGTTGTACTGAGGTTGTTTTGCCCTGCTTTAAAACCCCTTTGCTCAAACCCCAAATGCTTTCTGCCTTTGTCCCACTGTACTGTTCTGTAGAACCACCTGTAGCTCACAGTGGCTACCAAAGGACAATACACAACAGAGGACTGTTTCTGCAGGGATCTGTGACAGTACTAGGCTCTTTACATTTTCCTTACTAGCTCCTTCATGTTGAAGGCGGCCAATCATAGTGATGCCATAAACTCACACTGAGAAAGCACTATATATCTTTAAAATCATTTGCTGGGGAAATGAAACCTTTTACAGCTTGAACAAGCTCTCTCTTCTCCACTCCACCAACAAAGGCTTACTACTACAGTCTGAGAAACATAAGAAGCTTTTACATTGTTGGTGTTTCCACAAAAGAAAGACTCACCTCTCGTAGTTCATGCTCTGGAGCCAAAACTTTGGTGAGGAGCTTCAGGTCTACCTCCCCATCCTATGAAGACACAGAGTCAGTCTTACAGACATTGAGAAAGCAGACACCCTCATTTAACCAGATAGGTCTTGCTAGAGATCGGCACATTTGCCTCATAAGGGTCACATACTTGGAACAGAACAGCAGCAGGAGCCTCATCTGAGCAGCAGATACCATAACACATTATTTACAGACAAATGAGCACAAAAGTCACACTGTAGAGAGGAACAAACTTATAGGCAGACTGCAAGAAGTTTGGATTGTAAAATACTGTGTATTTTGTGCAGCTGAGTATCACAATGGAGGATGCTGGGCTCCTGGAAGGAGAGGGAGTCACACTGGTCAACCCATAGCAACATTCACTTACCAGAGTCTGAAAGGCAGCATACTTCATTAAATCTTTGTCCAGGTCTTGGTAGGTCAGCACTCGGTTCACCTGTACACTGCAACCAGAAAGGGTCAAAGAACAAGCCTCGGTCAGTTGAAAGCACAAGTGAGGAAAAGGGTGGCATGAATAATAGTCTGGTGACGCCCACCTTGAGTGTCCACATCACCCCTGTAGACTCCTGAAATGGATGTACCCAGACAGAAGCACATCTCAGTCAGCAAATGAACAGTCATTGACAAATCTGTGTATCAGGTTGTACACATGAACAAAATTAGAATGTAGAACAACCACGAACTCCCTCAGAGAAACCAGATGCCAAAAAGAAGATCCACAGACTAGCTGTAAAAGCTACAAAGAGGACTGTAGTGAGCCTTCAAACAGCCACAGCACCACAGCAAAGGAGGCTCTGAGAGAAACACCATATAAGCTACAGAACAGAAGGGACTTAGTGATTTTCATGTCTGAGCTGAGTCAGAGCTATCAAATACGGTATCTTAAAATGTAGTATTCCAAGAAAACATGGTGTAGGGAGATGATATAGTGTCGTACCACACTTGGCTTCACAGGTGATAAAACACTGTAGAAAAGACCTATATTAATTGAATTTACTTGTGTTTGTCCATGAAAATCATCTGTATTTTCTACTGCTGGAAAACTATGAATATAAGAGGATCAGACAGCATTACTTAAAAAAAAAAAAAAAAAAAAAGAAGAGAAAAAGAAATGTGTTCTAGTGAGAAACACAGTAATTTTAAACTTACTACTATAAAGTGTAAATTATTTTTGTTAATAGCTATATAATTACAATGATTACTCCACACTTGTGATAGAGGCATCTGTGGTAAGGAGTAAGATATCCCATCCCTGCAAATAAGGGTCAACAGAAATCCCAGTCTGTGATCTTGGCAATAGAACCAACAGAGAAGATTTTCCTCATATGTTTAGGACAAAACCCCAAAAACTTTCATTCTTAAAAGCTAACCCCAAGGCGACTCTGATAGCACCTTCAAACAACAGGATTGTGCTTTGCAAATTAACTATGTACTTGAGTAAGAAGGATATCCTGTGGAGGGCAAAGCAGCCTACGACCACACATCATCAAAATGTGTGTAGCAATGCATGTGTAGGAGGCATTTGAGGTTATACATGCAACCTTTAACCAAGCAATTCCTCACTTTGAGAGTTTGATTTTGCAATATCAAATATGTTATTCTAATGTAGTTTTTTTTATAAAGAGGGAGAATATGCAGTAATTGCTTTTTTGCGTAATAGGAAACAAGAAGTTTGCTCTGTTCAGCTTGGAGCCCTGCTGCCACAAAACACAGCACCAAATCCTGCTGAATGGCACTGCTGCCAACATCCAGAGGCATGAAGTGGGTTTAATTTCACTAGCCAGTTCACACAGCTGATGAGAGCCTCAAGAGTACCTGGCAGTGCTCTTACCTGGGGGGAGCTGCCACTTGCATGGCCAGGTCTTCCTCCTGGACTTCCTCCAAATCAGGGATCACAGGAATGTCTGCAACAAGAGAAAGCAGCACCAGTAAGTGGGGAGTGTTGTGCTCTGCTCTCCTCTCACTGAAGATAAAGGTTCCCTTGCTTCACAGATATGAAGCAGCCTGTTCCTTATCAAAGGAAAATGCAAAGGAGTTATTTACCAATAATTAAAAATATATTGCTTAATATTAAAACAAGGTAATAAAACTTTGAAGCTTGGGGTCACAAAAAAAAAATCTTCCAAGAGGAGCAGATCAGTCCAGGTAGGACTCTGTAGGCCATGGACCATGCATTTGAACACAATGGTGAAGCTGAATAAAGCTGCTTGCATTAAACCTTGCTGCCTACTTGCCATCACCAGCTGGCAGGAATTTGCTTGTTATATCATTTGCTTGTTATCATTTGCTCAGCCATCAGTCACCTAGAGTCTGTTAGAAATGAAATGCGGGGCAGAAACCAAGAGAAGCTATGTAAACCTGCATGTTGAAGGAACTGCTAGTGGGGTCTCAGGCTGTGTAGACCTTCCCAATAGCTGAGGAAGAAAGTGCTAGTGCTCTAGCAGACATAAACATCAGGGAAGATGCACCTAGTTGCATTGTCACAAGCCTCTTCGTGATTTCCAGTGTGACCCTGGAATGGGTGAAGGTCACTGGGTATTCCTAGCACAAGAACTGTGGTTACTCCAGCTAAAAAGGATGCTACAAACAAAAGAATTGAGGAGAGGAGGAAGAACTGACTGAACACTGAGTCCTGATAAAGGAGTAAGGCTCTGAGAACATTATATGGTTTGTGATTTTACAAAGTATTATAAAAAGTTAGACGGTAAAAAAGGAGAGGAAGAGAAGGGAAAGTAACTGGAGGCACAAAACAAGAACAGAGTATACTAACACAGAGCATCTTTAAAGACTCAAGGCCACAGAGGCTCTCCAGAGACCTTGAGCCCTCAGACCACACATAAGCTGGTGGTTTGGCTCAGGGAAGAGGTTTCACTTGCCCAGCTTACAGGTGGAGTTGGCTCCTTCAGTGCTGGAGCGAGCAGGCAGCTCCCGGCTCTGCCAGCAGCACAGCCATGCCACTGCTGGATGGCAGCAGGCAGCTGGGCCTGGCTTTGCCACGTTTTTCAGCCCAGGCTGAGATGAATATTCAGGAGCTGGAGAGACATTCCCACCTATGGTGCTGAGGGCTCTGGGCAGGGTCTTCCTGAGAAGCCCCTCGTCCAGCTGCCTGTCAGAGCTGCGCAGGCTCTCAGCTGCCCTCCCTTGCTGAACATCCATCGTGTCCCCCCACTTGGTGGCCAGGAGGCAGCCCTGGCCCAGCTGTAGCAGGGCATGGGTCAGCCCGGGCCTTACCGCAGTGGCCATCCAGAGCTGGCCACACAGTGGGATTTCTCACTAATTGGCTGCCTGGTGAAAGGCTGAGCAGGACAGGGGTTGTCGCAAGAGCCTGGCCACAGCAAAAGGAGTGACAGCTTGGCCGGCCTCAGCAGAGCTGTGCCTTCTAGCTCCCCAACCACCCAAGGAGCAGGTGCCTGCAAAGCAGCTCTCCAACTGCAGCAAACTTCCCAAAGACATTTAAAGGGAAACTGCAGCAACAGCTCCCAGGCTGTCCCTGAGATGGAAGAGGCATGTGCAAGAAAGGCCTCACCTGTGCATCACTGGTCTAAGGCAGGGAAGGAAGTTCCATGCAGATGTGTCCTGTTAAGTCCAGGCAAACGAGCACAGCAATGAGAAACCACCTAACCTCTCCTGAGCTAATTTATCCTTTTCATCAGGAGACTATGAATCATTCTCAGCAAACATAAGTAAATTAAGAACTACCTGGGAACAGAGCTGTCTTTACCCATCAAGCACATTTGCTGTAGCAGGAGAAGGTCAGGATCCTTATCCTCTTTTGACAGCAGAAATGTGGAAGGTGTTTGCAGCAAACTGAATTTCTTCACTCATTTCTTATTTTGGCAGCTATTTCTAGAGTCTCTTCTTCCCAGTTCCCTTTTGGTTTTGTTCATCTCTTTTTGCATTAGAAAAAGCTGTAAACTTAGAGCCTGGTCAGTGATGTCCCCTCCATTTTGCAGGTTCCCAAATACTCCTGAGTTCTCCAGTGCTGATTTTATCTCACTGCCACTGAATTCCATGGAGAGATTTCTAAACCCCTTTCAGAGCATGACCTCCACTCTATATTAGCAAAATCTAGGTGATCACGTAGGAATTCTTTCCAAAAGAAATTCAAGGTTCTGATACTTTATAGACACTTTGAAAATATTTCACACAGAAGAGCTGCAAACACTCTGGGGGCTCCTGCCAGCCCCTCCAACAAAGTCCACCACACACTTGTTCTTACTGCAAAGTGTGGATGTCTTGCCCATTTCTAGGCAGAAGCAATGCCCTTTAGGACTGTCGAGCTAACACGAAACAGAACAGAAATGCCAAAAATCTTAAGAAAATATCAGCTCCCTGGGATAACTGCTATCAGTGGCAAATCAGCCCTGAAATATTTAAGTCTGTATTTCACTTGTTACTCATAATTTCCTCTTCCCTCTGCCAATTCCCATGGTGCCACTTCTCCACAATCCCGCTTCCTTCTCTCTCTCTACAGTTTGCAAAGTGCCTTCATTGTCATTTTATCATCAGGGACCCAACATCTCCCCTCACTCACTCTCCAGCCGCCTAATTGGTTTTGTTGCTCTTCTTGGGACTCGGATCTTTTTTCCCTGTAAGCTGTGGTAACACAGCCAAGTCAAGGCCTATGTCAGCTGCAAGGCAAAGAAGCACACGGGCTATCGTGCTGCCAGAGAGTAGACATAGGGTGTACTTTTAATATTCCCATTAGCTGCAGTGAGGCTTTACATATAACATTAGTATATGCAGAAATGTTCATGGGACGATGTCCTCCCAGTCTTGTGCATTTTTCCAAAAGCAAGGTTATATTACAAACTCCCACTCTGTGTGCTTTGCTCTGTGACCCACATTTTAACTCTCATGTTCAGTGGGGGGGGGGATTTAGATAATTTTCCATAAACCTGTGGTTTTGGTGCTGAACCTTGACACATACTTTACTGGCCAGGCTCTCATGCCCACACAGGCAAACCTTAGAAATAACTGCACAAAAGGACACACCAGGTCACTGCAATGAAGTGAACAAATGGCCTGTGCAATGATGAGTGAGCACCATGATGCCAAAATGATGAGTGCTAGATGACAAATGCAAACTCCCCTCCACCTGCCAGATGCTGCTGAATAAGGGTGAACAAAGAGTGAAACCAAAAGGACTGTATTCAGACAGAAGTTATGGTGGGGCAGGAGACACCAGTACCAAATGTTGGCTAACCGTGGAGTTAAGTCACTGCACCAAACTGATTCCCTCAGAACATCTAAGTTCCAGCATGTAAGTAAGAACAATGGTTTTATTGCAATAGTTAAACTGAGTTGGTATTACACAAAAGAGCTTCATGACTAAATTATGGGAAAGCACCAATTACACAAGGCAGAAGTGTGTGAATGGTAGGAGGAAAAGAGAGAGGGGAAAGACTTTGGGTGACGCATGCTACATGCAGATAGTCAAACAATAGGCAAGGAACAGCAGCTTTTTAAGTCATAAAGAAAGGAGGGCTTTATGTGTTCATATTAAAGTATATGCAGTAATCATCATCTTTTTTACCTCTTAGCAAATAATTTACTGACAGGCAAAGATAACAACCACAGAATGCAACAAGCAGCAGGTGAGAGAACCTGCACCAACCCAATACCCAGCTGCTCCTGCAAGTTGGTGAATTGTACTTCCCCTCCCAAGCAGGGCTGATTTTTGATTTAGTAGCAACAGCTGCAGGCTGGGTCTCATAAAATCAGTGCAAACTCACAGCAAGATCTGGTCCTTGTCCCAAAGAACTAAGTTCTCTGTTAGATACAAGACAGCATAAATGGGGACAGACAGAATCTGTTCCAGGTCAGGCAATAAATCAGCAGCTAAGATGGATCTAGAAGCCATATCCCAGGTCAGGCCTGCAGTTAGTCAGCAGTGTGGTTGCTGCTTCTTTCTTGAACTGCTTTAAGTCTCCTGAGCCAACATCCTGACACAAACAAAACAAACAAACAAACAAATCCCAACAACAACAAAAACCCCAAAAAACCAAACCAAACCAACCAAAAAAAAGACTTAATCTCACATTGTCTGATTCACTTCCCCCAGCTAGGTGAGTTTTTCAAAGACCAATTCAGAATGGACACTCTTGTGGTGGAGACTGTGCTGCCCTCCCTGTCAACACAACACCATACCCGAAAAACAGAAAGAGGGTAAGTGGCTTCTGGATCTGGCAGTCCTCTGTACCCAAGCAGGTATAAGAATGAAACTAACTTTAAAGTTGCTTGCTCATAAAATGTAAAACTGAAATAATTACAGTATCTCTACTGCTGCAAAACTTTGTTTTACTGAATGCTGTTACCTTCAGCATCACGTTTGGGGAATTTTAAACAGGCAAATGGAAGGTCTGATTGAAGATGAAGTTAAGTGAAAGAAATTGGTCTCATTTAGCACATGACAGGATTCATCTGTGTTCCCAAGTCCACTGAGGTAGCATCATGGGCGTTTCATATTCATGAGCTGCTGCGACACTGTGTCCCCTCATTTACAAAGCACCGTGTTCAGCAAATTCTGTCCCTGTGGACACTCTGTGCATTTCATGGTCTTGTCAGAGAGACATCAAACACTTCAGTAACCAAACACCAGAAAATGGCTTTAATTAGTGCATCTCAATGCAATAAATATTTTTTCTCTCTAAATGGAAAAATGGAGAATTTAAAAAAAAAAAAAAAAAGAAAGAAAAAAGTGGAAAGCAACAGGCAAAAAATCTTCAAAAAACCATAAAGAACAAGGGACACAGGCAGCTTCTGCTGAACACACAAACAAGCTTGCAGCCTCTTGGAAGGTTTCTCAGGAGAGCAGCAGACAACTGGAGAGGATAAAGAACACTTCTTTGGATGCTTGGACATTAATTTCATAGGGATGCCTTTCCCTGACTGAAGTTGCCCT